GCGAGGCGGCGGCAGGGGGAGTTGGTGGAAGAGGGTCTACTTTCAGCAGGAGCGGTGGCGGCAGTGATGGTGGTGTTGTACGTTTTTTTTGCAGCAGCCAAGGCCGCTTGGTGGCAGTGTTGCCGTGTTGTAGACGGTTGCAGACTGGGTTGGTTGGCTGGTGGTTGGCTGGTAGTTGGCAGGCTGGTTTGTTGATTGGTTGACCGGTCGGGTGCGCTCGGCAGCGGGCGGACGGAGAGCAGGGATTTAGGGAATCCCGTTGCCGGCGCACCTTGTCGTTTTCAGTGTCGTGTTGTCGGGTTGCAGGGTTGGATTTTGTGTTTGATTTGTTTTCACATCATGTTGTTCTGCAGTGAGTTTACCTCCGAGGAGTTGTCCTCGCCCAGGACCTTGTGGTTCTCGTGTTTAGGGGTCAGAGAGTTGTGGATGTTGAGGGAGTCGTCCTCTTTGGGCGGGGCCTTCACCGCGTCCTCCAGCTTGTTCTGGGCATGAGGATCATCCTACCCATGGAGCGAGGGGGTAGAAAGTACAGTTAGAAACATGAACGACAGTCAGTGTCCTAATCACTTGCAACTTTTGACCCTGCAAATTGGTAGAAAAAAAAATTCTGGCCAACCCATCATAACTGGATTTATTAAAGGACGACGTTCATCTTTGTTTAAAGCAAAGAAAACCAGCTCTTTATCTCAATAATGAAGTCCATATTGGACGATTCTGCACCTCACATTTTACCGCCCAATGCGGAAAAGAGTGCCAATCCAGGAAGAGGTCTGTTCTTTATGTAGTAACACAGGAGGTCAAGAAGAAAAGTCTATCAGATAAATACGCAGAAGACCAATGCTCATGTCTTGTCAGACTTTCAAAGAACATTTGTCGTTTAATTAATCACCTCAATGTTTCTCTAATCGTAACCAAGAGTTTACGTTGCCTGTAATCTTTACCATAACCGTGTTCTTTTCCTAAACTTAACATTGTTGCCAACGACAAATGGTTGTCATTAAACGTAATCCAGTGTTTTGCAGAATCGTCCAACAACGACGTTCTTGTCTGGAGATTTCGTAGAAGAAAACAAAGATGAACTCAGCATCGCTTTGCTTTTGAAAGAATCCCAGAGTTCTGCAGTTATCGTTTGTTGCATGCAGAACAATGCATGTTCCACTTTCATGCTTTAAAGAACCACACCAGTGTTAAAAAACCTGGTATGATCCTTTAGAGACTTCTTGAATGCAGCGAATTACCATCGAATATTCAACAAAATCAACTTGCAGCTTCTGTATTGACAAAACCAGGTGTAAGTAGCAGCCATGTCAGTGGTTTGAGGCTTCATCATGCTCGACTGGCGTGTCATGTTTGGTTGAAGCGACAGTGAGGTGAGCTGCATGAGCGACACCCCCCCCCCCCTTTCCAGGCATCCCAGGAAGCACATGCACATCCACATGCAAGCCCTTTACAATACATCCCCCCCGTGTACGGTAATGATCGCTCATGCAGAACTCCTCCTGCTTCACCTGCAATTATCGTCCAAAAAAAAGGCAAATAATAAAACTCTGGCTGATTGTCCGTGGGTACCACCGTCATACATACCCAAGCAGTCGCTGGGGGGAAAAAAAGAGTTTGAATCCAATTCATCTGAATTTAATTAAGGTCAGAGGGAACAGATTGATTGCGGAGTCCATTTTAACTCTGTTTTTCCAGCCTCTTATCCCCATTAATATTGCATGGCATCATCGACCCTGCCTCACATCCCGGGGCGCCCGTCTGCGCCTCTTTGTCACACATCCGCTGAGTATTATCAGATATACACTTTCAGTCAAACACACAGGTTGGCAGATTCACACAAAACAAAAATTCAGACCCTGAGGCTTGTGCCACTTACAAACACCCCCTAATTGAATGTTTGCGTTTGAATTCAAAGGCACTTTTAGAAAGGAAGAGCAGTGAGAGCATTTACCCGCTGGCTTCTGGCCTAGATAGTAACTTCGGGCAGGACGTGCGGATACGTCACTTCCATGGTTACGGGATAGGGGCCCTCTTTCCTCCCGTCAGCGTGAAACTGGAAAATGTTTTTTGTTTGTTGGATTTCATTGTTTGTGCATGGGTGGAGAGGGGGCGGGCAGCAGGTGGGAGGCCACAAGGACTTTAGAGCGGGTGTCATTTTGGGGGAAGTAGGAACAGATATAAACAGGGTTCTGATGATGATGACGATGGAGGCACACGGACAGTTGTTTTCTTTTAGTGGGCGTTTAAGGGGGATTCTATGTGTACAGTTGATTTTGGAACGATTGCACTTGGGTACCTTTTTAACAACTTTTATTGAAATGGACTTCCGGCAAGTAGCAGACGCACTTATGTGAGGTTTTGTAGAAACTACTACAACAAAGTCTATTTGCCAGCACATACAGTCCTATTGTGAACCTGGAAATGTTGACAAACACAACGTTTTATGTTAGAAATGTACAGTAGGGGTCCTCAGCAATCAGAAACAGCTGGATGCCAACTTTCATATGTTGGGCAATTTGCACAATAAGCATAACTTGCTTTTTTTTAAGCATCAATTAACAATCTGTGGAGTCGTTATGTTACGAAGCAGAGCGAGAGTAAACGCGTGAATTAAAAAGCGAAATGTTTCCTCCACACACTGTAGGAAAGCACATCGCAAATATCACCGGATGTTCTGTCATTTTCCAGTGTAGCATAAAGGCATGGTGAAATTAGCATGACTAGTTAACATCATCGTCATTTCTAGCCGGTCCGATCGTTAGCTGAGTTGCGAAGGAAGAACACCTTTATAACCAGTTCACCCACTTAAAGCCCTTATACAATATGTTTGTTTCATAACTTAAGCATCTGTCTAGTAATTGTGAGTGCATTTGTAAGTGTTTAAAGAACTGTGCTTGTTATTTTAAAAAGATAGTAGAAAAGTAATGCACACCAAGGGTTTATTGGAAGGACCCAAAAGCCTGAATCGCCATCTGAATGAAATATAAATGTTTATGAAGTCATAAGGTTAATAAATATTTTAGTTTTGGCACACTAGAGGTGTTTGTTTCTGGGTGGATTTAAAGTGCAGGCAGGTGTCATAGAGTTTGTGCCTGAATCACTCATTCTCTTCAGCTCTCTCCCTGAAGCTGATTAAATATGTTGTACAGTGTTTGAGAGTCTCTACACCTGTTAGCTTTATTACTTTTTCTTTAGCCTGGGCGCATAAACTTGAAATTAAAATATTTGTCTTGTGCGTGACTGAGTTACTATTAGCCTGCCTGTTCATTCCCCTCCATGTGTTTGTTTACACATTTGTTTTGGCTTTGTTTGTGTTTACTGACTGGCTTTTCTCTCTGAGTATATAGAGCATCTGTCTACATTTGTGTTTGTATTTAAGAGTGTCAGATTGATTTGCATGTATGTGTTTGTGTGCAGTGTGCAGTGAAGCGGCATAAGGAGACGAGAAGCACTGGTCGTAGCTTGAATGTCTTTAAATGGCTTAAGTCTGTGTGACACGCAGAAAGTGGATCAGCATGGTTTCCCTTGACTCAAACTGGGACATGCAGTTCATGTTTTATGGTCACAATAATAGGAACCACCCAAACAAAAACAGCTGGCCATGATATTTGCCTGCAGATAATAACTGACTCTAAAAATTATGATGACCTTCTCTAGAAAAGTACACTGATGCCGAATTAAAAGAACTAAATTAAATCTTTAAAATCTGTCCTTTGAATACTTGGGGGTTGTATGTCTGGGATGTCTTCTGGTTTAAATAGAGAGGATTTATTTAAAAGTATACTGCAGTAACAATGTTTGTTTGTTTGCTTGAAAAGAAGTCATATTTCTGCCCACACTGTGATCTCTGGTAAGTGCTATGCCGTGTGAAACCCAGTAAGAAAAGACACATAGTAACAAAAATATACAGATTTTAATAAGTTATGCAAGAATTTGGTTGGTCTTAATGGTCCCAGTATTTTTGTTCTCACCACATAAAGAATTATGAATGGTGTCAAAATGAAAGGGACGATTATATTTACATTTAATCAAAAAACTGAACTGCCTGCTTGCAGAATTTGAAGTTAAAGGTTAATTCAGTCTGAGAGCGGATTCAGTCGATGGAAATGAAATCATCTTTACAATTACGGCCGGCTCTGCCAGGTCAATTCATTTTCTGTGGTGAATTTAGTTAGTATTGACAATTTCAGCGTTTGCTGCAGAGGAGACTGTTTGTCTGAACTCTGCTGAAATTACTGTGAAGGAAAAAGATTGAGGACAAGAGGGTTCAATCTACCACAGGGCAGGACACACAAAGCACTCCATTATTGCAGGGAAAGTGATTTTTGGGTTATTGTTTAGCATGTATTTGTGTTGGCTTTGTGCAAATGTTTGTGTTTTTTTCGTGCCCATCTTTCTGTGTTTGTTTATGGTTGTATTCTTCTGTAAACTTAGTTTTGCAGGTGTATGTGTGTGAGTGATGTGTAACAGGGTTCTCACAAGGTCAACAGTTTTGCTGCCAATTCAAAGTCTGTTTGGGATTGGGTTTGGAGGACTCTGTGTCTTTCCTGTGTGTTAAAGGGCAATTTCACACCATTTTCACATTTTTGTGATGGTGAACCTCTCTAAGGACTGCAGATGGAAATGAGATATTAGCAAAGGAACATTTAGATTATTGTATTTTATGCATGGCTTTTTATACCTATACTAAATGTCTGTCAGAAAGTGTTGGCAAATCTGATTGAAGATGAATTATGTTCAATTAATGCTTTACCTTATAAGCCTTTTTAGTTCTAACAGGTGACAAGGAGTGTGTTTGGATCTGTCATGTTGACGATATATATAATTGTTTTTCTTTTGTTGGTAGGAGGAGGTAAGACTCAGATGGATCCACTGAGAGTTGAGAGGGTGATTGACAGGGCCACAGTAACAATGAGAGAGCTGTTTGGATAGGTGAGAGAAGGGGGGAGGGCGGGACTTTCTGACATTTTGGGAGTTGGTCTTACCTCGCAGTCGGACTCCTCTTTGGTCTTACACTCCCAGGTGTATCTGCTCATGGTTTTCTGAGGGGAGGGGGATGGGGCAAAGGGTTATAACTCCTCAAAACCATACAAAGGCATCCTCAGAGAGAAAGACAGATAAGAGAGACGGACAGAAAAAGTTGGAGGTGGACAGAGAGAAAGTTGAGAGGGAGGTGAAACAGAGAGATAAAAGTAGCGAGAAAGAGGAGGCGGACAGGAAGAGATAGAAGCAGACAGATAAAAAAGACAGAGAGAGATCGAGTGTTGGAGACAGAGACCAACAGCAGGAGAAACTTCCTTTCAGATGTCAGCTGATATTCCCAGCTGGCTACAGTATCTCTGCTCAAACACAGACTCTCTGGTGCTGCCGGCTGTTAGTCATTATTAGCAAAGTAAATACAGGTTGGGATATTTCTGTTGAGGTTCTCCGCCATCGTGGCACTTGGCTGTTGGTATGGAAGGGGATTGAGGGTTTTTAAATTATTATTAGTGGGTTTATTTTTGGAGAAATTGGTGAGTTGGTATGGTTTTTGGTTTGGGGAAGCCTATATTTTCGAAGTTAGTTGTGTACGTGGTTGGAACATGTATTAGAGAATAAAGCTGGGCTGAATAGTAGTTGTAAATCTGTGGTATTTGACAGTCACGCTTCTTTGCTAAAAATCCTATAACCAGTAAAAGCAGTGTCAATAAGAAATGAGACAACAGTCAAGTGAATGTTCTGTAAATTGCTTTTGAATGATATATTTGAGCCTTGGGGAATTGGGCAATTTTGCCAACCTGAAACTAGGTCCAAAAAGAGCCTTGTTTCAGAACCCAACACTTGTTATTTACACCATGCAGTTTTCGTGGAAACAAAGTTCACATTCACAGAGTTCACTTGTTGATGCCTGACACTGCTGAGTGCACTACGTTCCACATAGAACATGTATTAAGCTGATTTGTACCAATATCTTTGATTTTGCGGAGCTAGCTAGCTTGTCTTTTAGCATGGCTGCTTCCTTGCACATTACTGCCACCAACTGTCAGTGGATAAGCCTGAAACTGGCAGTGGAAGTATGTATGTGTACCAAAAGTGTGCTGAAACAAACTCTTTAACACATTTACAAATACTATTCAGTCCAGTGGATGATAAGGGTTTTTTGGTGGTTTTGAGTTAGGAAGTAGATATCTTAGGGATATTGTTAAGGTGAGGATGGATGGTTTTTGTTACTCTTTTCTTGTCTGTTAGGGTATCATGATAGTGGTGGTTAAAATGAGAGGGTGAGACTCTTTCCTAAAACTGTTGAGCTAGCATGAATGAGTTACAGAGAAACGACTAGTTGCTGTACCTTTTACAAGTTAACAAAACTACTGACAGAGTTGTTAGAGGGTGGTACCACATCTTAAAAACAAATCAAACAAGCTCTACCTCAGATGTAGCACGAGAACTACCCATGCTGCTACAACGTTAGCCGCTAAAGCTAACCATGCTTCAGTTAGTGAGGCGCCTGTCGGCTCTCTGCTGCCACCTGCAGGCCGCCGCGGGGCGTTGCATCTCAGATGTTTATCCTGATAACCCCGACCATTTCACACAATAGTCCCACACCTTAAGCTTACCTGTTTGTGACATCAATCCTCCCACTTCCTCCCCCCAGAAAACCAGAGTAAGCAAGTCCCGCCCCCTCCCATTTTCAGGATAAACAAGTAAAGCAGACAATTAGTTATAAGCACAAATCAGTAAACAGTTAGCGAAGCAGAGCTGCCGTGGCTCAGATGGCGTTGCACATGTTAGCGAAAGAGCAGGAAAGCCATGACACACCGATGCAAGAAGTGATCAGAGAGAGTGAGAGAGCAGCTGAGAAAGAGACGGGGTGAGCAAGGGGTTGCAGCGAAGGATTCTGGGGGTTTTCTCTTTAAGGGTCAAGTTAGAGCCAGCGCGGTTTGTTAGCTGCACTGTGAGAACCGTAGATAAATGTTCAGAGTGCATGGTTTCAGGGGGAGTTTGACCTCTGACCTTAGTCCTCCTCTGAGCTGATTTATGGTACATCCACTGTTTGTCAGCAGGCAATTAAGCGTTTCCTGGACACCGTTCAGTCAAAATAAATTAGTGGGGTTTCTGTAATGGTCCTAAAATGACCAGCTAAAGCTCAACACCAGATTTCTTCAAGACATTTCACCTTGAAATACCAGCATTGTCATACTCTATAACTGAAGGTTTTTTAGTTTTGTCATCTCCTATTTGTGTGTTTGTTGTTTTCACCTTCACAATAGGATCAATAAGCAATAAGCCAGGGGAGCCGAATCAATAAAACAGCATGAAACTATGAGACCCAACAGCCATCGTGTTGCCGTGGTAAAATGGGATCAATCTATGCAACTGTGCCATTTCTTATTTATAGCAGTGGCCAATTTATGAGGTACCTGTACAATCAAATGCAAAGCAATACATCTGTTCTGACTTAAATTCATACTTTTATATTGTTCAGATTGTTTTGACTCAGTCATGAAGGTGTTATAGCTCAGTTTGCGGTGGTGTTTTTGATTGCATTATATTAAGTATTTCTAATATGTTTCCCCCTCAAGTATTCTAATAGGACAACGAACTAGAAACACGTCTAAATGTAATATGGTCCAGTATACGTTTTAAGTATGACGTCAATATTAAATATCACATTTCCTACAATGTAACAATGAACAAATGAACTCCACTGTTGCATTTTTTCTGTGTGTGTAGCTAATAAAGTGGTGCTAGTATAAGTGATTTGTCACAAATTGGCTAAACCTGAAATAATTGCAATATTAAGAATGTAAATAGAGATCCACGAGTTCTCAAATGGATTAAGAAATTGTAAAATAACCACAATCTAAATGCATGATGGTCATGTTTAAACGTGTAGTTTTATATATCCTCCCCTATGTATTTGTATTTTCCCCGAGAGAAAACTCCCCACCATCCCTCCTTCGCCCTTCGACCCCGCCCATCCCTCGTCTTCATAGCGTTGCACACCTCGGAGTATCTGAGAATACTCATGCCCATGCATTAGGGGGAGAGGAGTCAGGGGCCCGGGCAGGGTTTGCAGGGGGGGGGGGAGATGCAGAAAAAGGGGTGAGAGAGAGAGGCGAGAACCACGTTACCTGACAGATAATGTTATCATAGTAAGCCAATGCACGGGCATGAGGGACGTTAGGAGGGGTGTCGCACAGTTTCCTTACATTTGGGTGGGAGCCCTCAGCGATGGTGGACAGCGAGAAATTATCATTGTGCTGCTCCGATGACGGCCGGTACTTACTGCTGGGTGACGGAGGATTGGAGGGGAAGAGGAGGAGGGGAAGTGGAGAGGAAGATGGGGGAAAGATGGAGGAAGGTGTGTGGAGAAGGTAGAGGGAGACAGAGTTTGAAAGAAAGGCAGGAAGAGTTGGGGATGTGATGTAGAGGAAAGAAATAAAGAGATTGACGATAGGTTAAGAAAAGGATGAAAGGATTTTGAATATAAGAATAGCACCCATAGAATAAGATATTGAAGTAGGAAGAGGTGGGGAAATAGGAGAGAGAATATTTGCAGAAAATAAAAAGCAAGGTAAGAGAAGAATAAAGGACATTTAAGAGAAGATGAAGATATAGGAATGCAGGGGAAAAGAGAAAAGCCAACAGAAATGGGAGGGTTTATAGAGTAAAAGAGGGACATTGGAAAGATAATAAGAGACAGTTTGAGAGTTTCAGGAGGATTTGAAGAGGAGGAAGTGAGGAAGAGATAGAGGGGAAGTGACATTTACAGGAGGTCATCCACGAGGTGAGAAGAATAAGAAGAGACATTTGAAGCCAAAAGAAGTCATACGAAGAGACGGACAAAGGTAAATGGAAAGGCGGGGAAACAAAATGGAACAAAGGAAAGGAGATAGGAGACATATTTAAGAGAAAAGATTACATTGTTGAAGATAAGATGGACAAAAGGAAAAAAGGAGGGGGGAGAAAAAGCAAGAAAGCAGCATTAGTTAGACAGCAATCTTCTGTTTGTCACAGGGCAAACAGAAAATAACACAACATGTAATCTGTGATGCAACACACGGAGAATTCATTTTGACCATCAGATTAAGGTCACCTGGCTTGTATACACAGAGGCTGCACGTTGACTCACATTTGACCCACTTTTGACTTGACGTGACTAACAGGGAGAAAACACTGCAGACAGAAACACACTCTAGTTTTAAACACACGGGGTTCAGATGTGTGTAAGTGTTGCACATATTGATGCAAATAATACTTTTTATGTTCATTTGACATTGCTGCAAACAAGCTAATCCAATGCTTTCTCTTGAACTCCACTGTGTTGGAGGAATTACTGTAGACCTTGCAAATACACATACGGCTGTCTTATGATACACATAAAAGAGTAATAATGTAACATCTGTCCGGGGAGTACAGATTAGGGATGTCCCGATCACCTTTTTTTGCTCCCGATCCGATTCCGATCATTTGATTTTGACAATTTTCCGATACCGATTTTTCCCGATCCGATCTTTATGCAATGCATTACGAGGAAAAAAAGCATTCAAGTTGTCCCTTAAGGTTATTTTTTTATTTAAATTGGATATTCTATCCAACATGGATATAGCTTATTTTTTTCACAGCAGCATTGGATCAGTTCAGTTGTGCAGCATTGGATCAAAACAAAAATAAAGCTTATCAGTACTCGTTAGCTTACTGCTACAATTAGACACTGCGCCCACTCTGTTGCCAGATTTGAGAGAAATAAGCAACCAGGTCTATGAAAACAAGCCCCAAAGAAGCAACACATACATGATGTTGTGTAATTTGAAACCAAAACTAAGGCCTCAGGATGAATTTAAGACTTGAACATGGTCATTTTTGTTTTGTAACATTGAATACAACATTTTAAAAAAGTATTTAAAAAAAAAAAAAATCCCGATCCCCGATTTTTTTCTCCCGATTCCGATCTTTTGAAAATCACGTGATCGGCTCCGATCCCCGATCACGTGATCGGATCGGGACATCTCTAAATCTAAGTCTTAAACCTATAATCTGATTTGATAACGTGCTTACAGAGATGTCTGTTTCAATGCGTCGGTGTTTGCTCTGTTACATCACTTTGTGTGCGAGTGTGTGTGTGTGTCTACGTGTGTGTGTCGCTCAGCAGACTGGGCAACAGACGCGCTGCACATGGACACACACTAGAGACAATGACACACACGTGCTTATGCCATGCATGCACTGCAGGCTAGACACTTATAGAAAGCTAAATCAAACACACGGAGCTTTGCTGTGGCTCTTAAAGGAAACTGTACCTGTGCTAAACACATCAAGCCAGTCAAGAGATAAACTCTGACAATTGATGCATTTAATGGTTT